CCCCCCTCCCCCGGTGTTCAACATTTCAAGCACTGCCCAAAAAGCATCCTCACTTCCTGAGTAGATTAGTCAAACAATTATGCACTTTGTGTTTACAGCTACAGTGGTCCAGACCCAAAAAGTGAACTCAGGTAGTGAGAACTTGGAGAGGGGCCATCCGCCTCGGTTCTCACCTTGGTGATACCGTTCAATGATTTCCGATGGCTGATGTCAAAGGATATTCCCGCACAGAAAGTGGCAACCTCAAACCCCATGTTGCAACCATGTGATACTGTGGATGGACGAAATCCTGCACCACTTTGACTCAGTGGGAAACCATTGTTTGTTGGTATTTGCCGGGGGTTCAAATCAGAAACCAGGGTTTCTTGGGTGGTGCGAAATGGATTTCGCAGCCATCCACAGTATCACAAAGCCCAGAGGCAGATCTCAAAGGAGATAAAGACATTCCCTCACAGAAAGTGGCACTCAAACCCAATGTTGCAACCATGCGATATCACAAAGAACAAAACAAGGTTTGCCCAGCGAGGCTTCGGTGCTTCGGTGCTCGGGGCCGCGGCTCTCGAAAGCTCCGCCACGTTCTTCCCCAGCTCCGAGGGACCGGTCTTGGTGATCTGGGCGAAGCAGACCGACGGAGATGTGCCAAGCGGGCAGGCGACGTTCCTCCTCAATTTCAATGAAGGAAATCCGGTTTAGTTTGTGTGGCATGAAGCAAATGTTCCTCAATTTGATAAAGTTGTGATTTTTTCCACATCGGTGGTACTAGAAAAGTACCAAGCAAGGGGCACGGCAGGTGGAATCTCCTAATACCCAATCCATCCCAAGTGTTCTCAAGAACCCTGTCAGCACCAGCAACCGTGGGGAAAGAGAAAACACCTTGTTGGATTCTCGTTTTTGCTACACTTTACCAGTGGGATCGAATTGCCAATGGACGAGTGGAAAATAGCTGGTGAATCGCTTGTGCCAAGGATATTCATTGAGGTAGGTGGATGTTCAAACATAACTGCGGACTTCTTCAATAGCATTGCATTGTCCAATTCATAATATGTGGGTGTGTCCAAAACAATGGCCGTTGAGGAAATAAAGTGGATGGGTCTCGGTTTGGTCTTCCTTGACAAGGGCCCTGCATCCTCCAGAGAGGTTAGAATAAGGGTACCCTTTTTTCTGTCCCAACCGAAAAAGGGGGTGAGAAAGGGCACTGGGAGACCTCGAAGCTCAAAAAAGATGACAAAGAAAACATCCCTAGTTGGCTGTGGGTCAAAACCAATGGGATCCCATTTTGGGGTAGGTGAATTCATTCGCCACCCATTTTAGGTTTCCTATTTTAGTGGTTGGCTTGGGTCCCGTTTAGTGGGGGCTAACCGATTTGGCTTTTGCACCCCATGGCCATTTCTCCTCATCCGCTTCCTGAGGCCTCCAAGGTACGTCTGAGCGTCAGGTCTTGATATCCCACAGGACATGCAACGCACCACCTAAGAAACCCCGGTTTCTGAGTGGATTCCCCTGTAAATACCAACAAGCCATGGTTTCCCATAGTTTCACGTTGGGGCAGAATTGTGTCCATCCACAGTAGGTATGAGTCTTGGTTGGTCGGAGCACTGAGTGGACATCATTTGCATAGGGATCTGATGGAGATCAATTTTTGAGGGTGTGTTCCAATGGTTGAATATCATCGTATGCTGCCATCAACTGTTTTGCCCAGTGGCTTGCAACCGGTGGTTTTGCGAGGGAACCCCGGTTCCTTGTTAGGGGATCGCCTCCTAAGGCGGGGGAGGGGGTGGAGGGGGTCCAACAATTGCAATATTGCAATTCGACCCCGGGTACCCCGAGTGCGTTGCAATTTCGCGTTGCAATTCCAACTCCCCGAAATACTCCCCCCCCCCCGACCTCAAACTTGTCAAGCCCACTCTGCCTCCCTCCGTTCCCTGATCTGCATCGTTTCTCTTTCAAGGCTCTTTGTTGGCTATATTCGGTTTCCTGTCTGCGAACCTAGTTTTTGTTGTCTTCGTCCCGTGTCATTCTGTCGCGGCCTTTTGTCTTGTTGTGTTCTGTCTGTCCTCCTGTTTTGTGTTGTGTCCTTCTTGTCCTTTTGTGGGCTTCCTGGTGCATTGTTTTTGAGACTCATAGACTAGGAATAATGATTCACCGGTACAAGGCAGAACAGTGCCACACCGCTTACGGACGGCGCAACCGGGAAAGAGATATTGGACTAGAAGTGCGCCAGAACGTTCTTTCAATTGAGTTTCTGTGTGTGTGTGTTCTTTTATTTTTTCTACCAACGTTTCAATTTTCAATGTTTCTATAAGTGTTTTATTTGATTTTATTCCCTTGCATCTGCTTTTCTTTGCTTCCGGAATTGCAGCAGAACTGAAAATTGCCACACGGGGGTGGGTACCCCCGTCCTAGCAGTTTGTTGCAATTTGGCGCCCCCCCCCCCCCATTTCAATTAGTTAGGAGGGGTGATGTTAGGGGTGTGATACCTCCCTTCAAACAGGGGGCTGGGTGAGTGGGTGAGGCTGGGTTGGGTTGGGCTGGGCTTGGTTGGGGGTTGGGGCTGGTGGTGTGGGTTGGGTGGGAGGGCGGAACCCATGTGACAACTCGTTCTTGGATCCTCCCAGGCTCCGGCGATATTCTCGATGGACGGAGTGAAGGATGGGTCCTGCGGACGCATCAAGCTCTTCAGCGCCGCCAGACCACTGCCAGCCCTGCTTCTGTTTTTGCCACGTGCCTGGATCAAACTGTCTTGTTGCAGTCATGAGTCATGTTGACCCCGGATGATTTTTACCCTATTCATGGTGTGTTCCAAAAGTGGTCTGGATCCCCACTATACCCAAAGACCCCTACTCATACACTAGGTCCTCCAGTAGAGAGGATACAATAAGGGTACCTTTCTTTCTGTAGTCTATTTTTGTAGGGGTCCCCAAAAAAGAAACGGTAAAAGGGCACTACTGGGGGACCTAGTGCACTGGAGTTGATCAATCCTGCGTTAACATGCAGCCATCGACACATCAAGTAAGGGGGCGCCAGGATTTGCCCTTCCGGACCGGATCTGATGCGAGGGGAAACGCCGGAGGTTGAAATCCTCTTCAAAACCAATTTGGCCATGGCTTGCATAAGCTATGGCTCCTTTTTGGGGTGGAACATCCATTTGCCACCTACTTTGATGTTCACCAGGGGTACAGGGTTTTGACCCGCAGCCGTTTCTTCGCTCAAAGGACGAAACAGTCATGAGGTTTCAGAAATTCCTAAACTTACATCCGCTGCTTTCCCCACGCTTCTTTAATTAAACCCGGTTGTTTAACCCAAAGTTTGGGAAAGTAGGCTTTCCAGAAACAGAATGTGAGAACAAATGCAATCAACGCTCTTCGCATGAAAGCTCAACAGGGGGCTCCACAAGTCGTGAGAATTGCACGCCTGTGATACGTGCAAAAAGTGTTCGACCACGAATCCTTCACTTCATGGGTACTCCAACCTCTTCGAAATCCCGCGGGGCCGAAAGAAAAAACAAATTAATCCGCGTAATCCGTGCTCTGGTTGGTAATCTCCTTAATCCGTGATCCGTGCTGCAAATTGCGGGACAAAGCCTTCTGCTAGAGCATTGACAATCCGTACATGTCACGTCTCATTCTTTTTGGACAAAGGGAATGATTTGGACCCCCACCAAAAAAAGAAGAGATGTGCACCAAGCGAGGTTTACTTGGCAAGCAGGTCAGCAGTTGGAACCCCGAAACATTTGGCCAGCTCCCCCGGTTTGGAGAATGGTGTTCCCTTTCTTTCCCTCCAAACTTGGCAAGGGACATCTAGTTGCTAGTTTTCAGGGACCCGACGGGACGCCAAATCAAAACGCGCTTGGCTGAACCAAAAGACCTGATTCCCGCCTGAACATATCACCCAAAGGAAGCTCACTTTAGAACTGAACCGGTGCTTGAAGATTCAAATCCAATAATCTAGCGACACTGCCAAAGGCCCGATAAAAAAGAACTCCACATTTGCAAGTTCTTTCAGGAACCGCTCCCGACCCGTCTCTCGCTTTGCCTTTTCTCCGCAAAACGACCGTCACTCTCTCGCTACCTTCGCAGGGAGAGACTCAGGCTGTGGGCGTGGGATGCCGAAAAACGCCAGTGGACTCTCACTCGAACGGTCAAAAACATCAGGGATCCTTACATTATACAGCTGAACATTGCCTTGTAAATGGTGGCGTCCATTTCTTTATTTTGGTGTTGAAAAAGCAACATGTCTCAACTGGTTGCAAAATGTATCTTTTAAGGAGCCCTGATCATGCGGACATTTTCTTAGTCCTGGCCTCTTGTGGTTGAGAACAAAACTCGGTGATAACATGAATCCCAACAGAACCAAATCATTCTCGGTGAAATGGGCTTTCATTAGGGGGTTGAGGTTGAATCCGACCAACTTGGGAATAACAAAAAAAACACCTCCCCGTTGTTAACAGTTGTAGGAACCAACTTTGAATGCACGGCAGCCATCAAACATCCCCTGCACTTGCTCACCACTTCGTTCGAGACATCCGCGCCATTTTCGAGGGACACGCCTATTGCTCGCCTTTCTGCGAAGAGACTCGGGCGCGTCACGAAATGAACCCAGCTCTGGCTCGAACTCTGGCAAGGACTTGGCCCACTTTGAACATTCCGAATCCACCAACCTCTTTATTTCTATCACCTCCTCAACATAACATGCTGAAGTCCTTTGCCCATATGGGTGTCACTTTTTGAGGGTACCCCGTTTTTTTGTGGCACTAAAAACGGGGAACTAAAGGGAACTCCCCCCCACCCCCCACCCCAACCTTTAAAAAATCCGAGCCATACTGTGGATGGACGAAATCCTGCACCACTTTAAAACCATGGGAAACCATTGTTTGTTGTTTTTTTGCAGGGGAATCAAATCATTCTAGGGTTTCTTGGGTGGTGCGAAATGGATTTCGCCCATCCACCATCCTATCCCATCCTTGAGGATGGCCTGCCATCGCACCCTGTCACACGGCTCAGCTATTCTGGGCCTGGCGGATCCGCCACCGGCCAACATGACATCCTTTTCCGGGATCGTTCTTTTGAGCGTCCCCTATCGGAAGGCCATGGTTTTGTGCATTTTCACATGACCAATGAAACACCGAAGACCAAACTCAACAGAAGTCATTTTGACGCTACTTCATGTGGCTGTCTGAGCCGTCCTATTCTAAAGGACACGGGTGAAAAGAACATGTGACGGAGCCCCGAACACGGGTGGTTTGCCTTTTGGCTGGTGGACGAGCCTGAGTTGTTTTCCTTTTTCCTCGATCCTGGAAAATCACGGAGCCCTGTGCGAACCTCATATCGCACTAGAGATGGCAAGCCATGAGGTGTCGAGGTTGAAACCGGGTTAGCAACGCCAAGACGAAAAGCAGCAAATTAGACCCAATGATAACATCAAACCCAACCGAAGCCAAGCAATTTCTACGCGTTCTCCTAGAAATCAACAGCTCAGCCTTTTGGTCCACTGAGAGCCCTACCGCAGTTGCTTTCTGCTTCCCTGCTAAAAGTAACCAACTTTTAGTGGTTTAATTCGGAAAACCCATTAGTTGGCAAAAAGTTAAAGTCCTAACATCCACGCAAAATGCAGCGATGCTACCCATTGGCTTCCTCTGTCAAGTCTCCAGTCTGCACGATTTTTCTGCTGATTGAAGGATCTGAGTTTCTTTTCAGTGCGGTTTTGGGGCGCATGGAGAAGGGGACACCCTTTGGCTCGAACCCCAGATCTCCAGTGGCCGTGTCTTTTGCGCAGAACTTGAAGCACAAAGAACATGCGCTGGCCTTTCCCAGAGGGTCCCAGTACTTCATGCGGATGGCGTTTGAGAGTAAAAAGGGGTCGTTCAGTACCTCCCTACAAGTACCAAGGAACCTTCTGGGTTTAAAAGGGGTTTCTGGGCGCTGGATGGAAAGGTCGACAGGTGTCGGCGAGTGGAACTCAACCTGACTTTGGCCACCTGAAGACCTCTGGAGACTGAGCGCCTTGAAAGGCACGCACACAAGTGACCTTTTGGAAAAATAGATGGCCCTGGTACATGGGGCACAAAACATCATAAAACCAATCCAAACCCAAACCATCTTTTTCCGACCAAGCTAACCTAAAAAGGACACCTATATCCACAAGGATTCCCCAAGGGTACCCTTTAAACGGGTCATCTTCAAGCGCCCCCCTCGTACATGGGTCGCTTCTACGAAACCCCTCTACAAGGCACACGAGCCGTGTCAAAATGACGTGTTTCCCGTAAAAGACATGGAGAAAATGAGCTTTGTTTGTGGTTTTGCAGGGATAGAAAAGTTAGAATAAGGGTAACCTTTTTTCTGTAGCCTATTTTAATGGGGGAACCCTCCAAACCAAAAAAGGGGTGAGAAAGGGCAATAGTTAGTCCCCCCCCCCAAATGGGCCATCGACAAATCAGCAAACAATCCGACCGAACTCGACGGCTGCAGCCAGGCGGCGATGATAGACCGGCTGGTTGCGGGTCAGCCCCTGCAGGAATGCCGTTGGCTCGGAAATGGCTTCTCTGGTACGTTGTTTTGTTTTTTTGGGGGGAACCTGTTGGTGAACATAATTCACATGGCTATGAACTGTGTTGGGCCAGTGTTGGGGAACCACCTGAAAAGTGATTGATGGACATGAATCCCGACCTAAATGATGTCCACCAAAGGGTCCCTTATTGCAGTTCATAGCCACATGCGGATTCTGTCGCATTACTTTCATGTGGCGAGGCGGTGGACCACTCTGCGGGCGGTGGAACTTGTTGCTCTTCTCGGATCTCGGAGCGGCCTCCAACTCCCAAGCTGGTCTTGCACCTTGTGCTATGTGCGTCCAGCATAAAACGGGGGGAACAAAAAACCGAGCCCCTGCAGGGAATGCAGGTGTGCCCCGTCATTCACCCAGGTGTGCCCCCGCCGACAGCAGTACTCTCTCTCTCTCGAAGCATCTGGCCCAAACTATGACTTGAGCATGGATTCTAACTACCGACCCTTTGGTGAAACGTTCATGGGCCTTGTATTCACCCCCAAGGCCAGGAATCCTTTTTGGTTAACAACCTTCACGGAAAAGAGGGCCTTCCGTGGCAAGGACCGGAGTGTGACAAGCTTAGGATAGTTTTCAAACTTTGTTCAATCATTTTACATATTTTTGGTGAGGTCCCAAATTCTCGGCTGACCAGCGACCCAAAAGGTAGAAAATGATACGGGCGTTGGAAGATCCCCACTGCCCTAGACAAACAGTTCCCAACATCAGGGGCGAGTTTCCCAAAGGTGGAGTTGCACCAACGGTTCCCAAGAATCACAGGATTTTCCCCTCAAGGAGAGTCCCGCCAAAACTCAGGAGGTTCCCCCCAAAGTTTCCCCAACAATGATAAGGTTCTGTCAAAGAAACACCCTCCCCCCTTTGGTGGCCCACATCTTGGGTACTCCAAACAATCTCTCAATTCTATGATTCTGTTCCATATCTCGTCAACCTTAAAACAAACACGTTTTGTAAGAGCCTATTTCTCCTGGCGGCCATGCATGAGGGTCTGAAACAAAAAGAAGAGAAACATTCCCTCGTGGTTGCGTTTGGGTAAGTCAAACATAGAGCCCACCAAAGGCGTTGAGAAAAGTGGTCTTCCAAGTCCCCCCGCTTCAGCCAGCTTCCAAGTTGTAGGGTAATGTTGACCTCATATAATCAACCCCGGTTTGATAGGGGGGTGGTTTTGGCCCCTCCAAGAGTGGTCTGATTCCAACCTCTCAACCAAATTCAGGACACCCCCTATTCAGTATCTGGTTGGTTGATTCATAAGGGGTCAACATTACCTGAAACCCACTTCTTCTTCTTTTCGGAAACTGAAACAAATATGGGCTTTTGTGGGTTCTTTCACCAAGGTTACCAACCACTTCCCTGACGTAGACCATCGCCCCTCACTTCGCCCGCATCGCCTTCAGGCGGAACTTGGAGGATGCGTCGTGGATCGAGGCCGCAAGGCCCAGCCGCGCCTATCGATCGAGACATCTTCGCATCCGCGGGAAACGAGGAACTCCTGACTAGTAGCCGAGGAGTTCGAGTAGTAGTAGGCCCTAAGACAGGTTCGTGGGAAACGACAGGTTCCAATCCTTGTTCTTGCTTGTGCGAGAGATGCAGGGAATGAGAATTGGAATGACCCCGAGAACAACCATCCCCTACGCCCCTATATGGGTTTCCCTTAAGGGGACCAAAGCCTGGGTTCATTCCCTGATTCCCTGCTGAGCACCAGCCGAAGCGGCCCAACAAAACAGTTTGGATTTGGAGGGGGCAAAACCTTTGGCAGTGGTTTGGGGGTAGTGGAAACCATCTTTGAAACCGGGGGCAGTGGTTTGGCGGTAGTGGAAGCCACTAAACCATTATGCATAAACGGGCTTGTCTCCAGGAGTACCGCTTGACGTGCCGCCAGGCTTCCTTGGAGACTTCGAGAAAAAGAACCGCAGACTAAAACACACCCACTGGAGGACTTCCTCTGACACAGACTCTGGTGAACATGTCGTGCCATAGCTAAAGTTTAAGGCCAAAAATGTTTGTTTTTGGGAAGGCAACAGAACATATCTCTGACACAGACTCTCTTTCCATGCTCGTTTTTAGGAAGGCAAGGCAACGGTCATAGTGTTTCTTCGCAGTCGTTTTTCTTTTTTTTTTTCCGTTTTTTTTTCTCCTTATTTTTTTTTCTTCTGTGGATCAATATCAGACTTGAGGATATGTGCTTGCAGTTCCCTTTCGGGAACTCAGCCTCGTTCAATCGGAGGGACTCACACTGAGTGGTTCGAAAACTAATGTCGCTGAGTGAAAACATCTTTCAGATCCTGGTTACCATCGCAAGGATGGTTTCCCTTGCAGGAGTGGTATGTGAAAGCACTTCGATATAAACTGAGTGAAGACACCCTCAAAGTAGTCTTGAGAACCCCTCAACATGTAACCACTTGACTGGGCTGTGGCTCCCCTCAGCAGCAGGTAGAAACTTCTGTAGGTTTGATGGAAGGGCGGTTTGGTTTCAAAAGGTGCAAGGGGCGATTCGGTCACACCCAAAGCCGATGTCACCTCGTATGTTGAACACCCCAAAACAAATATTTACTGGTGGCGGGTTTCCTTTTCAAGGTTGCCCCAGAGAAACTGTCAAGGACCCCCCGGAACAATGGTTTCCTTTTCGGTCCTTTTTGTCCAACCGGAAAAAGGTGAAGAAACGACACAGACACAAGTTCAAGCCGAAAAGGACCCGGAAAGCCGTCTGCGACCGACGGCTTACCTCATCCACCCTGCCGCTGCCGCGGTCGAAGACCGAGAAGAAGATCCGCAAGAACACCTGCGGCTGGACTTGGGTAATGTTGACCCAGGATTGATAAACCCGTCCCGTCCCCTCTTTTTTGGGGGGTGGTCCCTCCAAAAGTGATGAATCCCAACTAAAAGGGGGCACCCCCGTATTGATCAACTAGGGGTTTATTCATCCGGGGTTAATATTATAAAGCTTCGGGTATCCCACGGAACCCCTACGACGACTTGAAAATCACTTCTGTGGGGGTGAGGTCGACCTTAAAGGGAGCATGGTGTTGTCGAAATGACTGTGGGTTGTGTGCCCTTTGAGCGAGAATTTGGAGAGTGGCTTTGTGGATGTCACTGTATTTTGGGAACGGAGTCTTTGTCAAAAACCCTAACGACTGTCGGGTGTCCTTTCCATGGCAACACGACTCCTTTTCGTGCTGTGTTTGAAGGAAGACCAAAGCAAGGCCCATTTTGTGCACCTCACCGGGCCCTGTTGGTACAGCTGGTTGTTTGCTTTGAGCCTCCGGTTTTTTGAGATTGACCCGTCCCTCAAAGAATTAAAAGCTCCAAAAGCAGGTGTCTGTTGCTTCCGCTGTGAACAAACAAGTCCCTCCTTTGAACAGGGTCGAGTCCAGCTTGTCAACCATGTCAATCTTCAGCAAAAGCTGAATGTTTGCACCGACGTATGCACCCCTGGCTGGGTTAGAAAAAAGCCATTATCGAAAGTGCAAGACACAATACAACATGAGTCATGTAGGTGTGACTTGTTTTAGTGGACCCCCTAACTTGTTGCCTTCCTTGTATTTTCCTCCTGAAACCAACCAAAAAAGGTACCCTCAAAAGAAGACAGGCCCATATGGTATTAAACGTGGCTTGGACCCAGTGTCACTTCCATCATGTTTTTGAAGCCCCCGATTGCCGAAGTCCGCCCACGAGAAATCCCTTGGTCGCAATAGTAGATAGACGAAATCCATTCGCACCACCGTTCAGAAACATTGGAATGATTCGCAAACGTTATGGTTTCAACCATGGTTTTTCATTTTGCGGTGCGGTCTCGGACGAGTCGCAACCATACACAGTAAGTAGGATGCACATTGACTTCGCCAGCCATCCCAGGTTCGGATAGCCCCAACAATCAAAATCCTTGGCCGAAAGCTTCCCCGTAGCCGACTTTGGCACGGCTTGGAACCCGAAATTGGAACGGGCACAACGCTTGTTCGCCCAGCCATAGTGTCTACCCCGAAGTGATCCACCAGAGTGCTTCACCCAGACACCATCCCCTCTAAACTTGAGACTGGCCGGAATTCAACAGGGAAGGAGGCAATGACCCCATATAAGCCATTCCTGGTTTCCATTCAGGGAGTCCCAACCGGTCTATTCCTCTAGGTGTTTTCGAGTAGAGAGGTTGGAACAAGCGTCTATCTTAAAAGGGGAACCCTCCCCCCAAAAAAGAAACGGTAAAAGGGCACCTAGCTGGGGGACCTAGTCCCCAAACCCGGACTTCCCAAAGTCATTCCCTGTGGATGGTTGCGAAATCCGTTCGCACCACTTTGAAACCATGGTTGAAACCATTGTTGTTGGCATTCACAGGGGAATCGAATCATAGGGTTTCTTGGGTGCGTTGCATGGATTTCGCGTCGCCATCCACAGTAGCAGGGTACAGCGAGTCACGGCTCGCCTCACCAAGGACCATCCCGGGGCCGTGAGCCCGCGGCACGTCGATGAGCATGAAGGCGGGCGTGCACTCCGCCTCCTCGCCTGCGAAACGCGCGAGCTGGAGATTGGCCCAGAGGGTCCCGGACGGTACTTCATGAGGATGGCTTAAAAGGGAGTAAAAAGGGGTCGTTCAGTACCTCCTTAGAAGGCAAGTTTGGACCCTCTGGGGAAGGGGAGCATTTTTTTAGCAGTGAAGTGCTTGGAATTCCCGCTAAACCGCAATAAGCAGAAATGCAAATGTTTCCCAACAACAACCATGGACGCACACTGGGCACCAAGGCTGGTGCCAGCTTGCGGAGGGCGCTTTGCGACATCCGAGACAGAAAACCACGAGATGAAACCATGGGAATAAAACCAGCAGGTTTCTTGGTATTTTAGCTTGCAAGGGCAATCGAATCATTGCAGGGTTTCTGATGTGGTGCGAATGGATTTCGTGCATCCACAGTATTGTCTTCACCAACCCACCAGTCCCCCTTTGAAGGGAAACTAAAAGCAGGTTGTTGGAGCAATAGCGGTTTTCAGATGCTTAAACACGTTGGCCCTGCTTGGCACTTGCACAGGCCTCAAAGAAGGGTGCACGTGTACGCATTTTCTGGAGCATGTTTACTACATAATGTGGAGTCTCCGTCTTTTGCGATCCGGTCCCCGAGAATTTCGCTGGGAACCAACCTGCCCGAATTGGGTCCCGATCCGGGGAAGGGGTGGCGGCTGACCAGCGGCTGACCAGCTTTTCCAAAGCCAGGGCGTTGAGAGGCCCGATAGGTTGCAAGGAAACACCTAGACTTCCACCTACCTAGACTCTCCACGACCCTTTAAAAATGGGGTCATTACCCCAAATTAAGGGGTCATGACCCCCATTTTTTAAGGGTCATGGAGAGTCTAGGTACCCCTCAACCTCCACTTCGCCACTTGCACAAATGCCAGGTGTCAAGCCAAGTACATATTCACATGTTCACATCGCTCAAGGTCTGGGTTGTTGCATGCGGGCGATCAAGAGATATCAAGAGAGAAACCCTTCCGAAACACTTCCGCCGGAGCCGCTGCGATCTGAGCAAATACCCCAAAGCTTTCAGCTGTTGGGGAAGAGGGGGGTGCCACTGCACTGCCGTGAGTCTGGCACAACATCATTCCTTTTGCGATCCTGCCTTCGGAGCTCGCCAGCATGTACTGCTTGTTGGTGATCACGAAGTCACCTCGCTCAAAGTTTTTCATCAGCCGATGAATCTTGACTTCTAACTTACCCGGGGATGCTCTCTGTCTCCTGGGCCACGAGTCGGTTTTTGCCGGTATTTCGCATCCCGGGCAAGAATGGACAAAATGATGCCCGAAAAGGGAAACCAAAGGAACAAACTGCCCTTTGAAACGGCAGGATTGAACAGGGATCCTTACATTATACACCTGAACAGTGCAACTTGTACATGGTGGTTTCCATTTCTGTATTTTGGTGTTGAAAAAGCCACATGTTTCAAATGGTTGCGAAATGAATTTCATTAAGGAGCCCAGTTGAATGTTGACAGTGTGTCTGGGAAGGAAGCCCAGGGATGCAAGTTCAAGCTATTTGAGGGAGGTGGTCATTTTGGGGGCCAAAGCACCCATTAATTTCTTGGCGCAATCATCCTTGTCTGGTGTCCTTTTCGTAAAATCAAATATGCTTGTTTATGTGGCACCCAATTGGCTGTGTCTGGTTTTCGGGGACTCCCCCCAACAAAAAAAATGTTGTTTGCATTTGTTGGCTTCCCTTTCACCCAATCTCTGGACTCTAAACGTACCCTCCAAAGATGACACACCCAATAAGGGGTGCTTGTACATACCCCTTTTTACATACCCCTTGGGCAAATGAACCCAAAAGGCCTGCTGATGTTCATACCGCTCTGCCCAAAAGGGATATATACCCCTTATGAAGCGGGTTGGAAAGTAGGGAAGTTAAGAGGTATGAACAAGGGGTATGTACTTCCACCCTTTGGAATAAATTTTGGTTATCCCTCGCCGTCTTTTGGCTCTCTGGGGGACCCACGAGGCGACCCGGCGGTATTCACGAGGGTGTAGGTGATGTTGGGATGGCTCTCCTCCGTCAACCTGCGGCCGGGGAAGGAGGTGGGCTTCTTTTGAACCTCTGAAGGCAAGACAAGGAGATGTCAGCTTCCAGTTGTCAGGAAAACCATCTTGATTGTTTGTGCGTAATGAAGGATCTTGATGGATGTCAAGCAGCCGTGCGGCCGCGAGCTGACACCTGTTGAACTTCGATTCCCTGTAGAACAGCGCCAAGAATAGGTTTCAACTCAAACAAGACGCACCTTCTTGTAAAAGCTAGATGCTCTTCTTCGTCAGACTCTCCATTTTTACGTGGTTCGGATTGGCGGTTTGAGAGCTGGAACCCCTTCATGTCCAGTCTGCAAGTTTTAGCCTGAGTTCGCAGCTGTGACTCACATGCCCAAATGGGCTTCGTATAAATGCAAGCCTGAGCGCAAAGCAAAGCCTTAGCGAGACAGTTGCTTCGTTTGCAGAAATCGAATTGTCGCCCTGCACCCTTTTGGGCTGCTCTTGTCTCAACCCCACCTGTTCCACTTTGTTTTCGCGGAGTGGGGATGGGAGGGGTGCAGGGTTGGGCTTTTCTAAGGGAGCATCGGGTTAGGGCCGTTCTGCAACTTCCAGCATACCTCCGCCGCCCGACAAATCCGCGGCAAATCCGCGAAAAAAGCCAACGGCCAGCCCGCATCGGGATCCAAAAACCCATCGAAGCAGGTCTGTGGGAAATGGAATCCACTTCTGTGATACAACAAAAAGGGCTTCCCAAAGACTAACCCTCCACATAAAGGGGGAGATTCCCTTGTAGCACAGAAGTGGGGAAAAACCCCGAGGGATCCCACAACCCTGCATCGAACTGTCGGATTTCGGCGATGCGCCTGTTGCAGGGTGCCACGCTCAGGCGGCTCATCACTTCTCGGAAGAGCCGGCCCTGGCGTGGGGTCCCTTCGCCCCGCATCCGATACAAAATCAGGGTGCGCCCTCCTTGGTTGACGTTGGTGGGGATTTCAACCACTAAACCACAAAACGCAAGAATGTACAATGTTGCCCAACAACAACCATGCCTCAAGTGAATCCACTTTTTTGGGGGGGGAACACCCAATCAAACTCAACCAGGGAATTGTTCACACTGCATTCTACTGCAGCGCGACTTGGCCGCTATAGAGACAGCGAGGTGAGGTATATTCCCCAACAGTTGAAAGCTTTGGGGTCTCAGCCCACATAGGCTCCGCGGTGGTCCGGGGCGGCCCTGAGGTAAGGTTCCACGAGGGTTCCACCAGGGTTCCACGAGGTTCTGCGAGGGCTGCGGGGTGGTGCGAGCACTAAAAAGAGCATCGCATGCTGTGGATATCACCTAAGCTTATTCTCTTTTGTTCTTTATTGGCTCAGAATGATCCACATGATCGCTCTGGCGTGGTTTGCTTCCGCGACATGGAGGTAGCCAAGCTCTGCGTGGTGCTGTGGACAAAATTCCCAGCCGATCAGCACTTGGATGGAGGACCCATGAGTAGTGGTTGATAAACCACCTACCCTCCCACCAACTAACATGGAAGTGCAAAAAGGCCCTTTCCAAGAGGAAAGTCGCCCTTCTACAGGGGTCTGTGCACTTCCATGTTAGCTGGTGGGAGGGTACTTGGTGTGAAGCGGTGATTTGGTCCATCCATGAGCGGTCGCCTGGACATGGAACATGTAGGGCTCCCCAGTGGGAAATCTGGAGCTCGTCCCTCAGTTCCCTCCCAACTGATGGAACCTCCAAGGACCTTCCTTGCACATTTATGGCTCCATGCTGACATTCAATGCCATCCCACAAACACCCAGTTTGAACTTGGAAGAGGGTTCCTGTTGCACGGACATGCTCCTCCCAAAAACAAGCATGGAACCTGAAAGAGACCCTGTGTAGCCTGCCTGATCCAGCCTAAATCCATGCCCGCCTGTATTTGCACTCAACACCCAGCGTAAACGCACCTTAACGCGACTCAAAATCCGTCGAACCCACCTTCCACGGCAAGCCAGGGCCAAATCAAGCCCAACCCCTTCATACAACCCACGCCAGCCCAATCACATGAACTCGAACCCATCAACCCATCAATCCCGTTCGTCATCCAACTTGTACGTGTGGCCTCCGTCCAATTCTATGTTCCTTAGACAAACCATGCGTCTAGAGCCGAACATTCAAACCACGCCTGATTCTCCAGGAGCTCCGAACCCTCTTGGGTTTCCTCTTGGGCTTTCCCTTCCCGCATACTCGTCTAAGGAACCTGAAGGGCCTCGTATGCTCTGAACCATAGGTGGTGTCTTTCTTGGAAAATAGATGGCCCTAGTAGATGATCGAACCAAGTAAACCAGCGCCTTCATTATTTTAAGCAAACCAACCAAAAAGGACACTTTCGGCGGAAAGCTCCATGGGGTTTCCTTTCCGGGTCCCCAAAATCCGGACCCCACCCGGCCTGGGCGGTGAAGAAGGTGGTGCCGGTGTCCACGATAGCCTGGCGGATGGGTTAAAATTTGCTGCCCCAGGGAACCCACGAAGAAATTTTTCATCCAAGAAGATTCCTTAGACATGAGTCGATTTGCATGAGTCGATTCTCCAGACATGAGTCGATTTCATCCCCAAAGCATTGATTTAAGGCGCAGTTGTTTTGACATAAAAAAAGAAGTCACACATCCAAAAAAACAACGCCCTTGGTTTTAGTGAAACCTTTGGCGAACACCTTACCCAGAGGGTCCCTTGATACTTCATGAGGATAGCTTTTGGTGGGTACAAGAGGGGTCCAAGTACCTCCTTAGAAGCTACCAAGGGACCCTCTGGGTTAGACATGATGCGATTTGCGTGCGTTCTATGAGGAAAACAAATACATGTCAATCCACGGGGGCATTTTCAACCACTTGAAATCTGTTCACTGCGAGCGATCCATTTATGGCAGTGGCCTTCGTTGGCTGGGTGTCCAACAGGTCTGGAGAACTTGCAACCGCTTTTGGCTTGCTTTGAAAGGAAAACGGCACTCATCCTCTCCCGGTTTTTGTGGGTTGAATTGAAAGGGACTTCTTCCCTTCTTCCCCCCAACCACCTCCCAGCCTTCCCCCCGAAGACAAACCATGACCTCACCCCCCCCCCCCAGGCCTTAAACGTCGTCCTATGGTGGCGCTTCTTGTGACCTTGGCAGGTTCTCAGCGAGTCCGGCGTCCATTTAGACTCCGGTGCGACGTTTTTATTGGAGCTTCAAAGGTCTGATTTGTCCGGAGGCCAAGAAATGGTCTGATATCACATATCCATTTTGTGAATCAAATCCATGCCTGCTGCCTGGACACCGAACGCTCAGTAAGAACACCATGACAAAAAGGATAATTGATGCTCTTGTTCTATTTGGGCTACTTGAAGGTCTAAAACTTCCAGCTCAAGTACTTGCTGAGGGTCAATGATCTTCAACTGTCTCCTCCAAGCTGTGGAAGTACAACTTAAACCTGATTCACCCCTTTGAAGTGGTCGTAGGGCTCCAAGGAGACAAGCTCAGAAACTGATATGTGTGTCGCTGACATGAGTAATGTTCGCCCCAACATGGAAACTCTTTCTTGCCCTGGGGAACACCATTTGATGCTTCTCGCCAAAGTGCTATAACTCACAAGCCGATCAGGATTCCACCAGATCCTGCGATCCCGGGATCCCTTGGAGGACCTTCATGGGTTTTCCCTCGTTCCCCAAGAATCGGTGAGCTCGTAAATGCATTTGGCCAGAAAGATCACTCACATATGGGCATGTCAACTAGGCCCTCCCTCACAAGAAGCCCTAGAGGTCCCCGTCTTTAAACACCATATTAATAGGGAACCACCTCAAGAGTGGTTGGTCACAAATCCCCAACCAAATACTGTCCACCTAGGCCCAAAAACAACAATCACAAACATACGAAGACCAAACCCACCCGAATCCAACTACTACGATAGGCAGGGTCTTTTTTTTACCTCTAGGTGCTATGGTTTCGCCTGGTTGCCTGCTATAGTAATGTTGACCCAGGAGTAATACACCCGTCCCACTATTGGGGGGGTTTTCCCTCCAAAAGTGGTCTGAATCCCCACTAAAAGGGGACACCCCCAATCAAAATCAACCATGGCTTCTGCTTCATCCGGGGTTAACACCACTATAGGTAAAACCAAACCCACCCGAATCCAATTAATTACCACTACAGTAACTACAGGCAGTTGTCTTTTTCTTTTTTACTTCTACTTAAATTAAAGGGGCAGGGTACTTAGTAAGTGGGTAGTAACCATGGTTACTAACCCACTTATCACAGTTATAAGTCTCCTAAGTGGCTTATAACCATGGATACTAACCACTTACCTGACGTACCCTGCCCCTTTAAGTAGGGTGCTATGGTTTCCCCTGGTTACTTGCTTTTGGCAACTGGAAGCCCTCGGTCATCTTACGCCAACTCTTCCACTGATCTCAGGCTGAAGCTGTGGCTCATCGCCAACTCTCCCTCCCCCTGGCGTTTGTCGGTTCAGCGGGCTGCGGCGAGATGGGACTTTTCAACACCTAGGTCCTCCAGATTTGAGAGGTTAGAATAAGTTGGTATCTGATTTGTTTTCTGTAGTCTATTTTAGTAGGGGAACCCTGCCCCAAAAAAGGGTAAAAGGGCACTACTGCGGAACCTACACACGCTTCAAGCATGGGCCGGGGTTGGAAGAAATGGCGTCTTACGTATGTGTTCTTCTCCTTTTCTGGCGAAGTCTGTTGAGGTAGAATCCAGAGAGAGGAATGCAGAGGGAGGAATCCAGAGGGAGAAGAGAATCCATAAGCCAAACGGAGTGGAATCTCTGCTCTTCTCCCTTCTTTGGGGGGTGGAATGCTGATACGAGGGGTCCTCTTGGGGGGTTCAGTTGCAGCTTCAGTCAGACATGGGGTTAAAGGAATAAATCCTCCCGGATATCCTCCCCAAGGAAGTTCAGCGAAAGGCTTCAAAACTTGCGCAGAACCCGATTCAATAAGGGCCCTCCAACAGCCAGGTTTTTTAAGACCTCCAAACACCTCCGGGGTGTCCAATGGGGTCGGGTCTTCCCATTGAAAGCCCCAAGACCGGGTTGGCAAAGAGCGGCCTGGACTTGCCCGTTGGACCCTTCCAGAAACACCGTAACTGAATGGCACGGGAGAGCTGGGCTTGGACCTGAAAACGTAAAGAGCTTGCTGGTTGAGAGGGAAAAGGAAGGAACTCAGAGGGTCCCTTGGTACTTCATGAGGATGGCTTTTGGGGGGTTAGAAGGTACCAAGGGACCCTCTGGGGAACACAACCGACTCACGCAAGTCTTCTCAAGATAAGCCCTTGGTCTGGCCCTGAACGCATGGCTATTTGGGGCCTTTGGCGACTGGTTCAAAGGAAACAGTCTTCGGGCGAAACCAACCTCGGAGAAAAAAGACCCTTGACATGGTTGCCACTACCCCCAAACACCTACTCCAGGGTTTCATGGGATACCTCAAAGGCGTATACCCCCATCCCCTGCGTCCAGGTGGCTTGGACGTGTTTTCCTATTTGGTTGCTCTTCACTAGCCCCAAACCGTGTCCACCCCCAAACAGAGAGCCTCGGGCAATGATGCCGCATGGCAACAAGTCAAACGGACCAGAACACCCGAAAAGACTCTCGTGCGTGCCTCGGGCCCCGCAAGATATGTCCAAAACCATCACCCAAAGCTCGAGTGGCAACAAGGTGATGCAGAAAAAGCCCACCAAAGGGCGCTAGGGTGTTTGTACACCCTAATGCAACCACAGGGGAATATATAAAGCGCCCTGAAATCTTTCTGCCACCAAAAGGTGATGCTTCAATGTATGAAGGGAACTCGAAGTGGATTTCTTGGAAGCCTCGGGCAGCAGCAGGCCCAGCAAGGAGTCATCTCCGATCTTAAAGTCCGCCAGCTCCACCTTGTCCGTTCGAACGTTCGAAGGAGCGCTCGGGCGAAGGCCACCCCGGAACTTGGACCATACTGTGGATGGACGAAATCCACTTCGCACCACCCAAGAAACCCTGGAATGAATCGATTCCCCAACGTAAATACCACCAAACCTTATGGTTTCAACCATGGTTTCATTCCGTGGTGCGGGCGAACGGATTTCGATTTCCACCATCCACAGACCATCCACAGAATTGGACAAGTTCTGGGAGTGATCCGGGTCCTGAAGGCTCAAAGAGCCTGGAAGCATCTGCGGTTCTGAGCACCTCTGGGCCTCGGGGACCACTTGACTTCGCTGGCCATCGCAGTCCATGGGTTTGAGAAATAGAATGAACTGGTTTGGGGGGTCAAACCAATGGAAGCCCCCAGTTGGGTGATGTTAGGTGCAAACTCCTTCATTCTGAGCACCGGCAAGATAGGCCCCCTGCAAGAAAGGAAAATCAAGGAAACCACAATCTGTGTACATTGTTGTTTCTGTTCACCACTTAAACCCTCGCATATGAGCTGGAGCCCCTTTTTGAGACACTTTGAAGGCGAGCCTGTCATTTGCATGGAATGCATCAGTTCCCTGGGTGGTCCTTGGTAGGATCAGTTTGAGCAGCTCCCGCGTCCTGGTGCGCCTTGACTCTCTGGGTGCCCGGCGGACCAGTAGTACGGCTCCACTACCGGGAAGTACCTCGTGCTGCATGGGCGGGCCCGTCCGCTGGGATTTTAGCCTGCGCAACATGGGGCTGCACCTCAGATTTCCACCTACAGTCTCCATCACCCTTTCAAAATGGAATCATCACCCTACATAAAGGGGTCATGGACCTATTTTTTAAGGGTCATGGAGACTCCAGGCAGTGGGATGTCCCGAGGAAACCAAACCATGCCCGACTTTCCGGTGGATGTCCCATCAGCTTCCAGAGGGCAACTCGGGCTCCCAACGTGCCGAGTCACCCCAGAGTTGGACAGCTTTTTCGCTGAAGAGAAAGGGATTCTAAGGATGGAATCCACTAAACACCTGGCACCATCGTAGCAACAAGCAAACGCAGCGATTGCGGCGACATGCATGCGGAACCTTCCCGCCATCTTCCGAAGCATACTTGACTAAATTACTGAAAAGCCTGGCCAACATCAAGCTTAAACTTCGATAAGTCAACTGGAAAAATGTTTCTGCAGGGTTTGCCCGGGGCAGCTCCTTCGCATAAACGGGGCCTGCACTAACTGCACACCAGGGCCGTACAACTGTTATGTATGGAACTAAATTATACGCATCGCATGTGCAGGCAAACAGCTAAAAACAAGGAACAACAAACTGGCAATCTGCTGAAACCAGCCCATGTACGCCATGCGTCATCTGACAAACAAGCAAGACGTGAAACAGGGACCTTCTGTGGCCATAGGACAAAATGGGCAGTTTCTTCTTTTGGCACTTACTTTCTATTTTTCTGGGTGTTCAACCAAAGTCAGGCAAGTCGAACAAATCATGGCTGTAACTTATCACAGGGCTAGCTGGGGATAGCCCCTGGAAACTGTGGTTGGTCCCTAAGTGGTTTGAACATCACGTAAAATAAAGTCTTGATTTTAGAAGGAACTCGAGCTCCCGGGCTGAGACGCTTCGGGCAAGTGATATTTTGAGATGCAAAGCTTAGAAGCTGCAGGCCCCCAAGGCCCAACCATCACCAAACTTCCGAAGCCCCGAACCCCACACGTCCTGCTTCAACAGACCCACTTGAGGAGGGAATCGGCCACCAAGTGGTGAGTAACACTTGCTACTCATATCTGTGCAAATATCCCACGGTCAGGGGACTTACAACAGAGGCGACTGCCGCATTTGCCCGGGGATCCCGCTGGGTCGTTGTTCCTGTTCTTTCTTTTTTCCGGTGACATAACCACTCGCAATGGTTGTAAGGGATACTGCCCCCAAGACTCCTGTCGAGAAGCCACCGGCTCATTTCCTTAAGCAAGCAGGTGCCACATAGGGACCCTTCGAAAGGTGAGGCCATGATCCATCCTTGTGGGTCTCCAGGGTTTTCTTAAACCTGCGCTCTAAGGGGCCAACGAGCGCACAGCTGTCCTTTGAGGTTTGGAGTAAACTTCTGTCCCTCCAAATCCCGAAGTCAAAGTTGGAAGGTTGTTTGGAAAAAAAAGTCTTCCCAGTGCCCCCCCCAAAAAAGTCTTCCCGGCCCAAGCCGGCGCACCAACACATGCGATGATCTTCCATATTTGGTTTACCCTAAAAAACACATGTCATATTTTTTCTCGGCCCTC